ACGGGCAGGCCGCTTCTGGCAACCATCCCGAGCCTCAAGACCCTCGACACACCCCTGGAGGCTCTTCGTGACAGGGTCCTGCGGTCACCCGGGCTCTCGGGCCGCCCCTCGCCCCCCCCCCTTCCCCTTCCCCTCGGACGACTTGACCTTGTCGGTGGCGCCCCCCGTCCTCCCCCGCCCCCGCCCCCCCGGAGAACCCAGGTCGCCGCCCAGGAAACGTTGTCTCGTGGCGCCACCAAGCCGAGGCCACGAGGCCTCCTCGATCCCCCCCCGCCCCAAGAGCCAGGAGGGGAAACAGCACACAGACGCAACGAAATACCGACTCCCAAGAGAAAAGGGAACAATATGTGAAGTGGGGGGAATACGATAAAAAATGATAATATGGAGAATCCTGGGATCTGTGTGTACTCCTCCTCCTCCTGCTCCTCCTCCTTCTCCTGCTCCTCCTCCTCCTCCTCCTCCTCCTCCTCCTCCTCCTCCTTCTGCTTCTCCTCCTCCTCCTCCTTCTCTTCCCTCCTCCCTCCTCCTCCTCCTTCTCCTCCTCTTCGTCCTCCTCCTCCTCCTTCCTTCCCTCCTCCCTCCCTCCCTCCTCCTCCTCCCCCTCCTCTCTCCTCCTCCTCCTCCCTGCTTCTCCTCCTCCTCCTCCTCCTCCTCCTCCTCCTCCTCCTCCTCCTCCTCCTCCTCCTCCTCCTCCTCCTCCTCCCCCTCCTCCTTCCCGCCTCCTCCTCCTCCTCCTCCTCCTCCTCCTCCTCCTCTCTCCTCCTCCTCCTCCTCCCCTCCTCCTCCTCCCCTCCTCCTCCTCCTCCTCCTCTCTCCTCCTCCTCCTCCTCCTCCTTCTCCTACTCCTACTCCTCCCCCTCCTGCTTCTCTGTGTGCCCCTCGATCCCCTCCACCCCACGAAGAGGCCGGCGCCGCCCTGCCCGGGCGCGGCCCCGCGCGCCCGGCGCCGCCCGCCGCCCGCGGCGGCGCGGCCGCCCTGGCGCGCGGACTGTGGCGAACGTCGGCCGCCGCCGCGGCAGAAAGATGATGATGATGACGATGATGATGCTGCTGATGATGAGGAGGATGATGGTGGTAACGATAATGCTGTTGTTGTTGATGATGATGATGATGATGATGGTGATGCTGCTGATGATGATGATGATGCTGATGCTGATGCTGATGCAGATGATGATGATGATGATGATGATGATCATGATAATGATGATGATGATGATGATGATGATGATGATGATGATGATGATGATGATGATGATGATATGATGATGATGATGATGATGATGATGATGATGATGATGATGATGATGATGATGATGATGATGATGATGATCAGGAGGAGGAGGTGGAGGTGGAGGAGGGGGAGGAGGCGGGATGGTAGGAGCTAGTGGGAGGCTCCCGCTCCCAGGGGCCGCCACGATCGCTACCCGGGGAACGAGCATCAGGAGCGAAAGAAGGACGTACACGTACAGGAGGAATTCTTGTTGGGTTCGAGAGTACGACTTGCGCGAACGTTCGTATCACGCGGCCGGGCTCGCGGCTTGGGGGGCCTTGAACATGCACGTGGGTGGGCGCGTATGTCCTTCGCTTGCTCCCTAGAACAATGACGCAAGCATGACAACTCGGAGGTCGCGCGGATTTCTCGGATCGGCGCTGGACCCCCCCCTGGCGGCGCCTCCGGCGCCGCCGCTGGCGCGCTCCGCACGTCAGGGAGGGGGGCCCAGCGCCGATCCGAGAAATCCGCGCGGACCTCCGAGTTCTTATGCTTGTGTCACTGATCGTTCCCCCAACTACCCGCCAAGCCACCCCAACCCAACCCGAAATCTCCAAGTTGCCCTCCGTTCCCAGTGGGGGGAGCGACCCAGAACAGGGAACCATAACATGGATGGAACTCGTTCGCCCCTCAACAGCTCGTACGACACCAACCCGAACAAATTCGGGACTGCGGGCTGGATTGGGATAATCTGTTAGGTCGTCGACGACGGCGCGAAGCTATTCGCAGCTCGCGATTCGCGACTCCTCATCCTCGTCTCCCTCGTCCTTTACCAGCCTGGAACATATCCCTATCCCTACGCTGGGCATCGCCTCATCGCGATGCCAATCTTAGGGATTCTCTTATTTTTTGAGGGCGCATCCCTAAGATTGTCATCGCTTTTTGGCGTGTCAATCTTAGGGATAGGGATAAGTTCGAGGCTGGTAAGTCCTCCTCGCCCTCCTCCCCCCGGTCCGCGAGGAGGCCACTGCGATGGCCCTCTGGGCGGCGGCTCGCTTCCTCGGCCCCGCGAGGGAGGCTGGCCCCGAGGGAGGCCATCCTGGGCCCGAGGCTGCGAGAGCCTGGATCCCCGCGCCCTCCACGGAGCTCGGGGGCGGCAAAGAGGGGGGTGATGACTAGGGGGGGGGGTGGATATCATGGCGGGGGCCATGATATTTCCCCAGATTTCAGGGCGCCTCTTCTTATTTCATTACTTCCCTGGCCCCCCCCTCGCTGGGCCGCGCACATGCCGCCGGTCATGTTTTGCACCCCCCCCTCTTGGACACCCCCCTCTTGGTCGCTCCCGAGGAGCGCGAGGGGGGGTCCCGCTTCCCGGCGCGGGGAGCCGCGATACAGTCGGGGCGCTGAGAAAGGAGCGCTTTTCGTTCGGGAGGGCTCTGTGTTGCTTCATTGTTTCACAGTTCTCCTCAGGTTTTCCTCAGGTCTCCGATGGGGAATCGAAGTTTAACTAATGGAGAAAAGGGGCCTCGTTCCTTATTTAGGGTTCCTTAGGTCAGCGCCCCGACTGCAGTGCGTTCTTGGCCTGCGTTCCTGGTGACGGCCATTCTGTCGGTGCGAGGCCGTGGGTTCGCGTCGGAGAGGTCGGGGAAGCCGACGGCGTTTCTGGGAGGGATCTCGGGGGGAGCGGCACAGGTCCTTCGACCGCCTGTGCTGGTCCGTTCGGGGCCGAGGCCCCCACGCGGGCCCCATGGGGGCCCACTGTGTCTAGTGGACAAGACGGGGCTCCCAGTGGTCCCGGCACTGAGCGGTACACGGGAGCCCCCGCCCAGGGTTGCCGAGCCTGGCTTTGAGCTCGTTCGGGGCCACCACACAGTCGCCGAGGGGCCCTTCGCTGATTGCCTCCCGCCCAGGGTTGCCGAGCCTGGCTTTGAGCTCGTTCGGGGCCACCACACAGTCGCCGAGGGGCCCTTCGCTGATTGCCTCCCCGCCCAGGGTTGCCGAGCCTGGCTTTGAGCTCGTTCGTGGCCACCACACAGTCGCCGAGGGGCCCTTCGTTGATTGCCTCCCCGCCTAGGGTTGCCGAGCCTAGCTTTGAGCTCGCTCGGGGCCACCACACAGTCGCCGAGGGGCCCTTCGTTGATTGCCTCAACTGCGGTGGATCAGCATCCAGTCGCCGATCCCCAGTGCCGATGGCCAACGGCAATGGGCCCGCCACCTGGGAGAGAAGCCGGCCTCGGGCTACAGCTCGTAGAATTCAGTCGGGCCTGTCCCTCTACAGGGGGAATATTCAAAAATAGTCAAAAAATTGCCTGGGGATTATTTTTGGAGTATTCTTTTGCCCATTTTGGGGTATTCTTTGACTATTTTATATTTTTCGTCGAAGATCCCCCTGTAGGGGGACACGCCCGACTGAATCTTAGAAATCCTCGAGCTGGCCGCCATCCTCGGATGGGGATCCCCCCGAGTGGTGGCGTCCCGAGTGCTCAGCCTCAGCGCTCCTCTCTGTCCTCGGGGCTCACCAGTGGCTTGCTGCCGCGGAGACTGCACGGAACGCAGAGGCCGAGGAGGAGGAGGAGGAGGAGGAGGAGAAGGAGGAGGAGGAGGGGACGGAGGAGGAGGAGGAGAAGGAGGAGGAGGAGGAGGAGGAGGAGGAGGAGTAGGAGGAGGAGGAGGCGGAGGAGGACGAGGAAGGGAAGTGGAGATGAGGGAAGGCACGGAGGATTGAAACGGTTCACCCCGAAGCCCCGAAGCCGAATTGGACCGAAGACGAGAAACTCAAAAAACGCGGGGTGCCGTTATGCTTCTGCCCCCCACCCCGAGGGGAGGCAGGCCCGCCACCAGAACCCCAAGAGTTGGCCTTTTGGACGTCGTGGGCTTCGTGGGCTTCCCGGCCCTTCTTGGGGTTCTTCGGCTTCTTGGGCTCTTGGGCTTCTCGGGCCTCCTGGGCTTCTTGGGATTCTTTGGCCCTTCTTGGGCCTCTTTGGCTCGTGGGCTTCGTGGGATTATTGCGCGTCTCGGGTCCGCGGGGGGGATCCCGCGCCCGGACCCCCGGAGGCTTCAACGACGGCTCCGGGCGGCGCTCGCCCTCTGCGGGCGTCCGCGCCCTATAGGGGCCCGCCCCCAGCGGCCGTCGGTGGCCCTCGGAGCCTCCGACGGCCACCGGAGGCCCTCGGCGGTTCCTCGCCGCGCTACTCACCTCTCGGGCCGGACGAAAGGGGGGGATTGGGAAAGGGGGGGTACGAAATTTGCTGCATGCAGCTGGTTTCGGCCTCACCGAGGGGCCAATTCCTCGGTACATAGCTCCCTCCGGGAAAATCAGCTACGTGAGCTGATTCTCACCCCCCCCCTTTGCTATCCCCCCCTTTCGCCCGACCCGATCGAGGGGCGCAACTGGCATAAGCATACGGTCAGGCCTTTTTTAGCTGAGCGCGTCGCGGCACGGGTTCTGGCCTCCCAAGCTTCGCCTGGCATCGCTCGGACGTGTGCATTTTTTCTCGGCGAGGGCGATCGAGGAGCATCCTTGATCATTTGGCGAGAAATCCACGCGCGAAACCAACGACAAACACAGGGAATGGACGTCCGAGCGATGGCCAGTTCGGCGCGACACGCTATCCACGTGCAGGTCCCCGAGCATCAGTGTCCCGAGCCTTCCCTCCCAGCCTTCCGCCCAGCGGAGTCGAGCGACACGCCAGCGTGTCGCGAGGGCCGCCGCTGCGGCACGCTGAGCAAACGTCCCCGACCGTGGACTTTCGGAGACCCGCGCGGATTTGTTGGATCAGCGCTGGGCCCCCAGTGGCGACTCTGGCGCCGCCCCTAGCACGCTCCGCGCGCCAGGGAGGGGGGTCCAGCACCGATCCCAAAAGTCCGCGCGGAGGTGTTCCGTAGCCATTTTGGCTCAAGCACCGCTGCAAGCGGCCGGCCCGCACTGCCCCGGGCCTCCCCGCCTTGCCTGCCCACTCCGCGCGGCCAGCCCCCCGAGGGGGCGACACAACGCGCGGGCGATGCGCGCCCGGCCCGCCGCCTGATGGGAGCCCCCCGCGGTCGGCGCCGCGCCCCCGAGCTGCGCCGCGATGCCGCTGCTCATCGACGAGGACGTCGACGACGAGGCCTCGATCTCCGCGACCTGGTGCGTGGACGAGGACGGGGCCTTGCGGCACAACCCGAGCGGCATGAGGGTTTCGCCTGACAGGGGCGTTGAGTGCGACGGCCAGGAGTATCGGCTGTCGCCGCAGGATATCGAGCAGGACGCGGACAGCGCGCTGGGCACGGGCTGCCAGGGCGTGGTTCAGGCTGGCATTCACAAGCCCACGGGCATGCGGGTGGCCATCAAGACGGTCAAGGTGGACAACAGGGAGAAGCGGACCCAGATGTTGCACGAGATTCGGGGGCTCATACAGGCAGCGGGCTGCCCCTACCTCGTGCAGTGGTACGCCGGCTTCGTGGCCAAGGAGGCCAGCCTGGTCCACGTGGTCATGGAGCTCATGGACCGCGGGAGCCTCGCGGACATGCGCAGGCGCCTCGACGGCCAGGGCGTGCCAGCCGAGCGGCTCGCTTGCGTGGCGGCGCAGATGGTCCGTGGCCTGGAGCACCTGCAGACCAGGCGCCTGCTGCACCGGGACGTGAAGCCAGATAACGTCTTGCACAACCTCCTGGGCCAGGTGAAGCTCACGGATTTCGGGATCTCCAAGGACCTGAACAGCACCGTCGGCGTGGCGGGCACCTTCGTGGGCACCGCGAGCTACATGTCGCCAGAGCGATCGCTGGGCAAGGACTACTCTTTCAGGTCCGACGTGTGGAGCGCGGGGATGGTGGTCTACGAGCTCGCCACCGCGCGGTTTCCGTTCTCCACGACGAGCTTCATGGAGCTCTACGAGGCCCTGTGCAATGCGCCAGAGCCACGCTTGGACGTTGAGAGTTTCCCTGCGGAGCTCTGCGACTTCGTCGAGCAGTGCCTCACACGGGACGAGCCCAGGCGCCCCGACGCCAGGGCCCTGGTCGACCACCCGCTCATCGCGCCGCAAGGCGAAGAAGAGATACGAGCTCTTGGTGTGTGGGTCGCCACGCACCCCGATTAGGACGGCTGGCAGCATACACCTGACGATGGCTTCGGGCTGCTCGCCTTTATCTGCGACCAATTGGTCCAGAAGTTCGGGTGGCACACCATCGCAGCCAGCGCAGAAAAAAAAGTCCGCGCGGGGGTGTTCATGCCGTTAGTCGTTCATCTATCATCGCTCTGACTTCGTTCTGCACGCACCGTGCTGTATTGTGCATGGCGCGGCTTCCCACCGCCTTGGCTTCCGTTGCGTTGCATTGCTTCACGTCGTTTCGCACCGTGTTGTTTTGCATCCTCCGCGATGAAATGATTCATTGACTTACGCCGTGCAACACTGCCGACCCCTTGGGAGCCCTGGGTGCCTAACTTCCTGGCGGGCGTCGTCGCAGAAACGCCCTGGCGCAGCGCGTCCACCCCGGAAACCCAGCGCCGTGCTCAAAAGGGTCCCTGCTGACAGGGCCGTTTTGGGGCCTCCTGGGGGCCTCCGGGGGGCCGGAGGCCTCTTTTGATGGCATCTTGGGGGTCTCGGGGGCCACCTTGTGTGTGAGGGCCACTGGGCACCTTCGGTTTCCTCCTCTTGGGCTCCTCCCTGGGGGCCCAGGTGACTCTTGGGCAGTCTTGGGGGGCCTTTTTGTGAAAACCCGGGGGCCCTCTTGGGACCTCCTGGGGGCCCCAGGGGCCGTCTTGGGCCGATCTTGGGGGCCTCTTGGGCTGTTTTTTTTCCTGGGTTAGAGGAGTCCGCCGGCACCTCCGGCCCCTCCTCCTCCTCCTCCTCCTCCTCCTCCTCCTCCTCCTCCTCCGCTCGTCCTCCTCCTCCACCTCCCCATCCCCGCCCCTCCCCTCGAAACCGGCCGATCTGGGCTCCTGGGGGGAGGGGTCCGGGGAAGGGCGATCACATTGCACTCCGAGGAAGCCTCCGGGGGTCGGCCAGTGCGTCCTGTTGCTGTTCGCTGTGCTTCGCGTTTTGTTGCCTTCTCTTCCTATAGTTGTGCTCAGTTTTTTTGTTTTTGCTCTGCATTGCGTTGCGCTGCACTGTTTGTCACATGATTGTTTGTTTGGCTCTGAAATGATGGTGCATCGTTTTGAAGCGCATGCCACTGCATTCGTTACATTGCGATGGTATGTTCATTTGCTTTACTTTGCGTTGCTTTTTACGTCAGTTCTTCGTTCTGCGTCGCTTTGCTTTCGGTTGCGTTTCGTCGCTTCGCTTTACAATGCACTGCGCCGACCTATGTGCGCATACGTCCTGTATCTGCCCTTGTGCTGCTTTGTGCTGCATCGCTTTTCAGTAGGGCGAGTTTGCATTGTGTTTGCATCGTGTTGCGTCGCCTTGTTTCGCCTGGCTTCGTTTGCTTGAACATCAGTGTCATGCACTGCGCCTTGATTGCATTGTCTTTACTTGCCCTGCATTGTGGTTTGCTGATTGACATGGGACTACATTTCTTGGCATGTCATTTCATTGTTGTGCTCAGCCCCGAACTTCACTACACTGAATGCTTCGCTGTGCTTTGCCATGCTTATAATTTGCGTTGCCTGTGTTGCTTCGCACTTCATTGCGTCGTACGGCGTCGTTTTACCTTGCAGCCTGCCTTGCGTTGGATTGCGCCGCCTCGCATTGGCTCGGTTGCGCATTGCCATGTACATCGCTGTGGTGCGCTTGGGTTTCCCTTGCATGGTTTAATTCGGATTGCATTGCTTGTGTTGCGTCTGCCCAGTGTTGCCTGTCTTTGCGTTCAGTTGCTCTACATTTTCATGCCTTGCCTGCTCTTGCATTGCTACGCGTTGGCTTGCTGCTGTGCGTTGCATTACTTCGCAGTGGTTTGCATAGGTTGGCTGGCAATCGCATGCAACAGCTTTGCCTCGCGGTCCATTGATGTTACATTGCGCTGTAAAAACTCTAGTTGCTTCGATCAACTTTGTTTTCGCTCTGCATGGCTTTGAATGCCTCTGCAGTGACTTGTGCTACTTTGAGTTGCTCTGTTTCGCGGTATCCGCTTTGCTGTTCAGTGGTACTGCGCGCACATTAATCATTGTATTATTTCCGCGCGCTGACTTGCCAAGCATTGTTTTGCACTGCATTGTTTTGCGTTGTCTGTCGTCGCTTGCATTCAATGTGCTTTGCCTTGTGCTATTTGTTTGACTTTGTCTCGGAAGCATGTGTCCTGCATCGCAGTGTGTTGCTTTGCACTGTGCAGTTTGGGGCTTGCGCCGCGCTGTGCGTGTTTGCGCGGCACGGCGTTGCATCAGCACCCGGGCAGGTCAAAGCAACCGACAGCACATCACATCCAGGCAGCGCCGCAACATGTGACAGATGATTCCCTGGAGTTCAGACTGGCTCTTCCTGGTGACACTGATCAGCTCGTCTATAGTAGCTAAGTCAGCTTGCCTCCAATCAACAGGAGGCGTGGCGACAGGCTCAGTTTAATTTGCTAAGCGTTAGGCGTGCTCGATGTATGCTGCTTCCATCGCCTGCTGCTGCCACTTCAGCATGCGCATCCGCAGGCTCAAGAGGCCCCACACAATGATCAACCTGGATCCCGCCAACGATGACCTCCCATATGAGGCCAGCTTCGTTTGTGACAAGCCGGAATCTTCATGGGCGACGGAGGTAACAGAGCATTTGCTTGGCGAGCGGGCCAGACACGGATGAGTTCTGCACGTTCTGGCGCCACAGTGCATGCTCGCAGCTCGTGCACCTGCTCGTGCCTGCCCTCTCGTGCTCGTCCAGCTCGGGGGGCCACTGCTGCACACCGCCGCCTGTGTCCAGAAGGGAGGGCGGGAGGGATTGCGGAGGAGGGCGAGGGGAGAGGAGGGGAACCGCGGCGAGGGCAGAGTCGGGGGAATTGGATGTGAAGGGGAGGGGAGGGCAATGCAGGGGAATCATCGTTCTCGGGGCGGCAGTGATTGACCAAGATGAGGTCAGGAGCCCTCGCCACCTTGTCCGCGGTAGTTGTGAGATGCGGAGGATGCTAGACCGCTGGCTTCGCTTAAGGGCCTCTTAGTTTCTCCTGGGAACCACTCGAGGCGGAGGGCTCGGAATGTCCGTTTTTGTCCGTCGTCCCGGCACCGTCTTGGAGCCGCTCTTGCTGCTCCTGGAGGGGGCATGCCCCCGCGCGCTCCCACGCGCGCGAGCCGCACCCGGATGCCAGCGGCGCATGCGCCCTAGAGGCTCCAGTTCAAGACCCATGCTGCCACTGCACCTTCTCCGATTTTCTCGCATGCGCTAATCCTGGGATGGTAGTTGATGACGTTTGGCTCCAGTTTCGCATCCCTTTTTTCGCTGAGCAGCGCCAGAGCCATCGACCACCGCTCGCCCTTCTCGCACGCGCTGACACCAGCGTTGTAGCTGACTAGTGTGAACCCGTGGAAAATCTACGGCCCGCAGGTCCAGGCGTTGGTCCCGAACTCGCACGTGTCGCCGAAGCCTCAAGTGACCCCCAGCAGGGCCCAGCACAGCCGCAGATGCCGCCCACGGGAGCCCAACGCGAGGTCCGAGACGGCCTCACACCCCCAAGATAGCCCCAAGCCGCCCCACGAGGCGCCCGACCCAAGAGGGCTATCGTAACCGATTAAGGCCGGGCGTGGAGGTCTCAAAAAGCATCGGGTTTTGGCTAATCGCGCCCGGCCTCTCCGCGATTAGCGAAAATCCGAAGGTTCTGGCCATTCCACTGCGCCAGGATTGGCCCCCACACGTACCCCAAGGCCTTGGACACCGCCCAAGACGATCTGAGTCTCCCGAGGTTTCGGCCCCCCCGGGCCCTGCATCGATACAGCCAAGGGTGCGGGTGCTGGGATACGTAGGGCCCCCGAACCGGCTATAGTGGCCTGCGGGCAATCTCGCCGCCGGCCCGGGTAATGGGCAAGAGATCTCGTGGATGTTGGTTGGGATCTCGTGGTCGGCCTCTCGGGAGCCTCTGGGAGACAGTTTGGGGGCTTCTTGGTAGCAGTTTTGGGGCGTCGTGGGGCCTCTTGGGTCCTCTTTTGGGGCCTCTGGGGAGCCTTTTGGGGCGCTTGGCGGCCTCTGGGGGGCCTCTTGGAGCCTCTTTGGGGCGTCCGGGGGCCTCCTGGGGAAGTCTTGGGAGCGTCCCGGCGTTTCTTTAGGGCGTCTTGGGGCTTCCTGAGGGCCTCTTGGGGTGGAGGCTTCGATTTTTCGGTTCCGGGTCCCTGTCTTGGGCCTCTCTTGGGGCCTTCTTGGGGCCCTCTTGGGCCGTCTTGGGCGACTCTTGGGCCGTCTTGGGCGACTCTTGGGCCGTCTTGGGGCGGTCTTGAAGGCCTCTTGGGCCGTCTTGGAACGGTCTTTGGGGCCTGAAAAAGCGAGAAGGCCAGAAACATTGAAAAAAACAACGAAAATCAACGATTTTGGCTTCTGCGGCCCCTCTTGGAGGTGCACTTCGAGCGCTCTGGGGGCCTCGTGGAGACGTCGCGGGCCGTCTTGACGGCGTCTTGAAGCCATCGCAAGCGTCTCGGATACACTCTTAGACCGTCTTGGGCCGTCTTTGGGACCTCCTGAGGCCGTCTTGGGGCGATTTGGGAATCCTGGATCAGTCCGCGAGCGGTCCGGGGGCCTCCCGGGCCCGTCGGGCAGCGGCCCGGAGGCTCTCCGGGCGGCCCGCGAGCTCTCTGGGCGGCCCGGGGCGCTGCCACTGCTTGTACTTCTCGCGCGCGCTTCGCCCGGAATTGTAGTACAGACTAGGGCTGACCCGTGGACTCCGTCCACGACATCTTTCTGGAATGGTTCTCGGAGGAACGGCGCAGATTGTACCGAAAATCTACAAACACGGCGGCGGCTCGGGCGGCGGCAGCGAGACCGCGCCTTCGTGTCCGAGCTCTTGCAGCGCTCCAGCAGCTTGGCCCAGCGCACTGCTCGTTCACCCCCCTCCTATTGAGGACAGTTTCGAAGTCTCTCGGGGATGTGCGTCGAAGACGAAGCCCATATGAGGCGTCTCAGGAGCGCTCGGGGAAGGGCTCGGGAGGCCATCGGGGAAAGCCACCGAAAGCGCCGGGGTGGCTCGCAAGGATCTACAGGGAGGGCACAAGAGAGCTTCAAGAAAATTCGAAATTCTGTAAAATCTTTAGAGAAACCGCTGTTGGGTCGGCCATCACCTCCGGGCACGCCTTGATGGTGCGATCCAGTCGCATCACCGCCAACGGGAGGGTTTGTTCGCCATGTCCCATTCTGTTCGCCCAGAGGGTCTGTGGAGGCCTTCGGGCGAAAAGAACGGGACAGGGCAAGGAATGGGGAAGACTTGTC